AACAAGTAAAACTAAGTTGGTTTTAAATATATCTTATTTAAAGTAAATTTTCCAGGCAAATTTGCCTGGAAATGATCTACAGATTAAGGGATATGTGAAAGAAATACAAAAAGAATTTCAATAATAAAGAAAATATTTAGAAAAGTTGCATATCGCACCAAATATTTTTGAAAGAATACTTGTGAAAAAAGATTTATTGTTCTACCTGTTATAGTATCTTATATGTAATCCTAATATAATGATCAAGGTGGATAAATAGAAATAAAGAGGTCGAATAATTGTACAAAAAGACTTCAACTTAATGCTACTTCGTATGATAAATGAATCTCATCTGATAGATCAGACGGTAGGGTATGTGATACTGTGGTCATAGACATGCTATAGGGTATATCCAAAACTAAAATAATCTATAGGCATGCCAATATATCTCACTCTGGCTAAACTGATATTTGGATATTCTGAAATATTCTGAGTAGAAAATCAAACAACATAAAATTACAAGAGAAAATTGAAGCAAAGGTTCAAAATATTCCGAAAAGTAGTTCAATTATATTATGCCATGCCCATAGTATGCATAGTATAAATTTTGGCTAATAGCATTCCAAATTTTTTTGCCATGCTACACATTCTATAAGATGGCATCAAAAAAAAAATCAGTAGATGATTTGGTTCTGTATATTTTGCAACCTGGTTGGATAGTATTTAAAAGAATCATATTGTTTCATATATAGTCCTATATAACTATTCAAGGTCGACAATTGTGTGAGAGATTCAACTTAGAACTGATTCGTATGATCATATATTAAATAGATATCATCTGATAGACTTGATTAAACGATATCAAAAAATTGGTGAAGAATTTCGTTTTATATACAGAGAAATCTCCCTAAATGTACCTCTCAGGATTATAATAAAAATTTTTAAAAAAATACATTTATAGAGCAAAATATATAGTATTATTATAAGCTGGGACCAGGCTATACTGTGCACTTAATGATAGACTGGATGGTATTTGAACATATATTGAATTGAGATTGGAAACTAGTCTCTGATAATTAAAAACTATCCTATATTCTAATATAGTTAGCTTCAATTGAGAAATAGAACAATTTAGTCTAAGAATTATAGAGTTCTAGTTGCTATATAATTTCTGGATTCATAGTTAGTTTGTTAGCTATCTATTCTTTCTAATTCCTCTATTTCTTATTCTTTTTCTCTATATTTACTAATTAATCAATTATGCTATATTATTCTTCTTGGTGTGACTAGGTTATAATTTTTTATCAGGTTTTGATTTCGAGCTATATCATAATTTCTAATCACATTTCTATACTTTTCACTTAATATAACATTTAATCAATTTAATTTTTATATATAAAGGTTTTATTTACTAATTTTAAATTTTTTTCTTTATTCACACTAAATACAAGGTATTGGGTTTCAAAAAATCATAGGAAAAGTACTACAATAAAATCGAATAACAATTTATAAATAGAGAAATTACTATATAGAAGCGATATTCCTGCTTTGGACCTTTCAAAGTTTAAACTCTATTTTGGTCAACCTCAGTAAGCCTGATATATCTGTTTTACAAATTTTAAAGGATCTTTTATTTCATTGTTAATGAGAGGTTAGAAAAGTTCAAATTTACGTCACAGAAAAATTTATTTAAGATTGTGTTAATAAGTGATTGTAAGAGTAGAGAATTTATATCGCATTAGGTGTGAAACTATACAGGAAAATTTGCTCTAATACAATTAATAACATATAGTGATATTCTGATTTTTTCAATTAGGAATTTCTTTGCGTTTATATATTGAACAAAGCAAAATTGATTCTGAGAAGAACTAGTCCGAAGCTATTGCTACTATTTTAGCTATTTAATTAATTCTTATAATTCTTTCTATTTGATAAACTCCTACTATTATTTGAATGCTTATAGTTTTTAGAACAAAAAGAATTTCAAAATTGTTGAATTTTACCAGTTGGGCAACACCTTCGAATCTTCTTTCTTACAACATCTCTTTTTGCTATTTTTTGGTAAGTTTTCACTTGTATTTTTTTTTTTTTGTAATTTCAGCGATTTACTAGTATTTTCTTTATATTCAGTAGGCTCTTATTCTAGAAAAATTTAACAATTTAATAGTGTTCACTCTAGTGTTTCTCTTATATAATTTCGACAAGCTAATGGTACTTTTTCTAATTTAAGTTTTGCTATAAAATAAGTAATTTGGTTAAGTTCAGCATATTGAAAAACCAAAGTAGAAGCATTTTAATAAAATAGTTTTTAATATAGGTATAACATATAAGTGCTGCTAAGAGAAAACCTGTAATTCTTGATTTTTAGAAATTTCACTTTTAGAAACAGACAATATTAGATTCTTATAAGCTTTTGCTGAAAATGAAATTTTGGAAAGCTAACAATTACTGGTTTTCTCTTGACGCTTTCATATATCTAAAAATATAACCCTATTGTAAGCAAAAAAATGTAGAGTTAAATAAATAAAATATATAGCTCAAGTGCCTTATTCAAATTAAAGACATCAATAAAAATCATGATTTAAATCAAATTTTGTGATTTAAAATGATTTACAAATAATTTAAAATATTTAGTTTTTATTATACCATCCCTAAATCTAATGCTTTGAACTTGTATAACTAATAATGTAATATATTTGCAACCAAATATATATTATTCATGTATTGGCCAAAACAGCCTTAATTAAAGATCGGTGGTAGTCTAGCAATTACCATAAAAAGTCATATACAAGATCTCCTATATATTAGACCCTTCTACATTTTTTACCATATAATTAATTTTTTAGGTGGAATATAAGTAACCAAACTTTGTATATGACTCTTTATAGTAATTTATGTATTCGCTACTATGACCCAAGTTTGCTTAAACTATTAACAATTATACTAAGCTAATTTTGCTACGAAATATTTTTATAAATTATCTTATTAGCTAGTATATATCTAAAAATTAAAATAAAATCAATACTAGGATATGATTATCATTAAACAGGGTTTTAATAAAATACATTTTATTAATTTTAAGGTTTTATTTACGATACTAATAAAGCATATATTAGTTTTTTACTTTACTAGATTGTAAGTAAACAGCTATTAGACAACCCAATAGACCATTAGACATATAAAAACTATGATTTGTTTAATACTTTTTTTTTATTAAACTACGTATATAAATGCTTAATCTTAGATTTTTAGATTATAAATTGAATATTTAATATATAATAGTAATATACGAAATTTTCGCATTTAATAGATTTCAAATACCATTTTAAATCCTTTCTTTTTATTCTTAGAAGTGTCTATTTTTGTCTTTGAATATGCTTATTAGTAAAATTTTTCAATATCGGTTTGTCTATTTCTACCCTTAGCAAATTTAATACGTAATATTTTTTTCAATCAGAAATTACAAACATATGTATAACATAATTTAAAAATAATATGTAACAAAAATTACATATTAATAAATAACTCATAGCTAAAAGACAAGCGCAAGACTAAATTCTTCAAATCTTTACATAAATTACATAATCCACAGCATAGTTATTTCTGTGAGGTGGTCGTGAACTTTCTATATATATTGCTCTTGCGCGATAGGTCTTTCCTAGCCCATCATACTGATACTATCCTGTATTTTTGATATTCTCAAAACAGATATCTGCAATGTGGTGGTTACCATCACAAAAAAAAACTCTGTGAGATGATATTTTTATTTAAAATTAGTACAAAAAAGGTGATAATGATAATATAATTAATACGTAAAGATAAAAACCAATAAATATTAACTTTATACCTTTGTTCTATATTTATATCCTCTGAAGAAAAATTAATTTCTTCTGGGAGGTCTTTATTTTCAAGAAATATTCTTTCGTCAGTAATGCTAATGCCTATAATATTAATTACAAGAATCAATGACAACCTCTGATCGATTTGTCATATTGATTTAACCTTTCTTGTGTATAGATACAAATACCTAAAAAAGTATTAGAAAATAATAAATAAAAAGTAAAAATAAATTACAGAGAATGTTAGAAAATAAATAAACAAAATATTAGAAAATAAATAAATAAAAAGTAAAAATAAATTACTTGACATTTTTAGTCTCCACTAAGGTATATTTATCTATTTTGAAAGCATTCTCAGGAATATTTATCGATTCTTCATCTATAATCTTGAACTCTGCTATGCATGAAACAATATTGCCAATTTTTAAAACACGCTTTGAAGTAGTTACTTTCTGGCAACACAGGTGTTTGCGGTTTTCTATAAAAAAAAAAAAATTAAAATAAAGATTAAATTAACTATCTTAAGAAGCCATAAAATACAAATCAAAAATCATTAAGCAGTTATTTACATAAGTATAATATCATAAAAATTTGTTAAACATGAAACTTTTTTTGGGCAGTAGTCCGAATCATATATAGATATAATAGTATTTTTGATAACAAAGAAATTTTGGTCCAAAGAATCATAAAAAAATTATTCAAAAAACCATTCTGAAAGTCCTCCAAATAAATCTATTTGATCCGTTTTTGCTAATTTAGCATACAATGGTAAATTTTTAACCTAAAGAAACTTAGCTTCAGACCATTTTTTTTGTTTCATTAGGTCAAAAACTTGAAGAAGAAGGTGAGTACACAAGTTTGAATCAGCTAGCGTGAAAGCAGTAGCTTGGTTATAAATATCTTTATAAGTAAATATATTTTGGATATGTGTAAGACTTGTATTTACTAGACATGTGGAGGTTAAATATAAAGATCCTTTCTTTTCTCCGTATAGTATCGTAAAAACAACAACATTACTATAGGAGTCTTTGGATAATAGTATAGGTTGTGAAGGCATAATTTGCTTATTCACCTAATATCAAGTTACAAAATATATATATTAACTAAAATTTATAATAAAATGCACCTATAGTGGTTTTGCACCTATTACATATTTTTAAAATTTAAGCTTTATAAATTTTGTATATAAAATTTTTGATATAAGTTTTTTCACGTCAAAGTTAATATTTAAGATAGGATTAGGGTTTGGGAAGAGCGCAGAATATTTTTATTTAAAATAACTCGCACCGATTAATTAGTTTTTGAAATAGTGTATAAATAGGTATAAAATACCATAGGTATATTTTAGTAAAAAGTCTTATCTAAAAATATAAAATTAAAAAAAATTACAATAATATTACTTTTGCTTTTTTTTTACTTGTTCATCAGTATATTTAATTATATTATCTAGCTGAACTATACATTGATCTTTATCACTATTTTTGAAAATAAGATCCACAATAACTTTACTTTCACTGATAGTTTTGACAATTTTTACCATAGAGCAAGGTATGTCTAAAATAGTATTTCAAAGCTGAATAGTTTCTCCTGGCATCAATCGACTTTTTTTCTTATTTTTAGGACCTCTTTTTTTAGGTAGTTTGAGCTCATCTTTATTGTGACTATTAGCGTCTTTTTGATGAAGATAGGATTTAAGAGAGCTACTTGCAACTGATTCGGCCACAGGTCTATATAGAGAAGTTATATTAATAGTATTATTAAATTAATTGCTACTAATCTAAAATTCTTATTTCATAGATACAATCAATAAAAAATTTATTTAATATATATATTTCATATATAGGTTGCCCTGTTAATATCAACCTATTTAGATAGACAATTATATTGATATATACGAGGGTTGATAACAGCGAGATAATTTTTATATAGCCTAGACCTATTTTTTCTTAATAAGAGGTTGATATTAATGAGGTTGATATTAATGGGAGTGACCTGTACTATGATTATTGTGTATTCATTATAAAAGAAAAAGAAATCAAATAAATAAAAAGTTCTATTACCTGGATTTACTATGAGGATTAAAAGTGCTATAAAAGGATAAATTAGAGAT